CTTGGGCCAGCCACACAACCAGAGCCCTCACAGGGAGGGAGACTTGGGTGATGTTGCAACACCAATCTCAGCATTGGTGAGATCCTGTTTTCTGGGGAAGTCTGGCTTTGGCCTCCGGCCAGCTTTCCAGAGCTTCTGCCTTTGATGCTTCAGAAGGCCACACCACCAGACTAAACCATACTCTGAAAGACATTTTCAGGATATGCTTAGCATGCAGCTTCTTCTCTTTAGCCCCACCTCGCCACATGCCACCTGGCTCCGGTTGCTGCTGTCTCTGAGCCTACTGTTTCCTCTGTGCAGCACGTTTTTTCATAAATTTCCCTAGGTTCTGTGCAGCCTGGCCCTTCTCCTGCATCTTTGTCAGCTCAAATGCCTCTCCCTTAATGAGCATCCTCCTCCCTTGCACCAGTAACTCTCAGCAATGCTGCCTTGTCTCTCCCAAAACACTTCATCGTTATTTGCCTTATTCATCCATCATTGTATCCCTCCAAAATATCATGTCTGCCACACAGCAGGTGTTCAATCAATATTTGTTAGAAGATTTGTATTAGTCAGGATTCTCTAGAGGGACAGAACGAATGGAATATATACGGAATATATATATATGTGTGTGTGTGTGTGCATGTGTGTGTGTATATATACACACATATATATATCCTAAGCCCAGGCTACAGACTCTCAGGGTGAGAATTTCTGAGTCAGAGATAATGTTGTCCTCTTCCATCTTGGAATAAACATATATATATTCCATTATACATATACATAATGAGCGGCTCTCTATATATTATATATATAATGAGTGGCTCTCTATTTTTTAAACATATATATAAAACATATATATAGTTAGCAGCTCTGTGCTTCTTAGCCATGGACATGTGGAATATATATACACATATTCCATTAGTTCTGTCCCTCTAGAGAATCCCATATATATATACACACACACACACACACACACACACATATATATATATATGTGGGAGTTTATTAAATATTGGCTCACATGATCACAATGTCCCACAATAGGCCATCTGCAGGCTGAGGAGCAAGGAGAGCCAGTCCGAGTTCCAAAACTGAAGAACTTGGAGTCTGATGTTCAAGAGCAGGAAGCATCCAGCACAGGAGAAAGATGAAGTCTGGGAGGCTAGGTCAGTCTCTCTTTTCACATTTTCTGCCTGCTTATATTCTAGCTGCGATGGCAGCTGATTAGATTGCGCCCCCCCAGATTAAGGGTGGGTCTTAATCTGGTCTTTCCCAGGCCACTGACTCAAATGTTAATCTCTTTTGGCAACCCCTCACAGACACACCCAGGATCAATACTTTGTATCCTTCAGCCTGATCAAGTTGACACTCAGTATTAACCATCACAAGACTGAATAATGAAAAATGAAAAAATGAAGGTCTATAGCTAGAAATTTAGAGATCGTCCCAGCGTCCTCCTTCTCCCCCATTGCGCATCCAATTAGTCACAAAATCTTGTCACTGAAAAATCTTTATGAGACTCTAGCCTCTTACCTGAAGCTCCTGAGACCAAGTGTTTCTCAGAATTCGGAATTTTTCAGATTTCTGAGAGGCAATACAGAGGATAAACTATATACCATATGACTCCCTCAGTGGAGTATGGGCAGCACATCGCAGTCAAACATCTGCAGTGAAATATGAGCATGCTTGTGAAAAGCAGTTACATAGCTACAGCTAGCCTCCTCTCAGTTCAGGTCATGGTTTACTGACAAAAAGTTCCAGAAAACTTGCTGTTTTCAGAGCTTTTTAGATTTTAGAAATACTGTGGATAAGAGATTGTAGGACAGAAACTTCTTTTTTTTTTTTAGTTTAGAGGATTGTTTCATTCTTTCTCAATATTTTATTATATTATGAAAATGTTCAAAAGTATAGCAATGTTTAAATAATTTTACATGGATCACCCATACATCCATCACATGAATTCTGCCAATAACATTTGTTTATCATGCATATGGCCATCGAGCCATCCCTCTAGCTACCCATCAGTTCATCTAGGTTTTCAGATGCATTTTAAAGTAAGGTACAGAACCAGTACACTCCCCTGAACACTCTAGTACATGTACTGTCAACTAGAGTTCAATATTTGTTAATAGTTTTTTCTTTTCATATAAATTTTCCATACGGTAAAGTGCACAAATCTTAAGTGTATATTCACTAAACCCAAACCTCTGTCAAGATATAGACCATACCCATACCCCAGAAAAGGCCTTTAAGCCCTTTTCCAGTCAACCGCCACCAATCCCTTACCCCTCAGAAGCACCCTCTAGTCTTGTTCAGATTAGTTTTGCCCTGGGACAGTAACTTTGAAGTCTCCTCTTCAATTCCATTCTTATCACTTCCCTTCCCTGCCATGTTCAGTGCCCCTATCCCATGCTATCACACCCCTTCCGACTTTTGCTAGGCAGCTCCCTCTGCTTCTGCACTTTATTCCAGTTTAGATTAGGTGTCACTACCTTTAAGAAGTGTCTTGACCACATCCCCCATGCCCACAGCTCACTCCCACTCAAAACCTGCACTTCTCTGCCTTGTAAATACCAGATTATTATATCGACTGTCCCCCTCCCATTTTCATATTCGACTGTGGGCATCTCGAGAGTAGAAACTGCATCTCCCAAGGCTTAGCATTGTCCCACATTTCAACCAATACTTCAGAGGTCAATGTATGAAGTTCACTATTGAGTCTGTGAGAACAATACATTAAAGGGTTAAAACACAAACTTTTTTTCTTTTTTTTTTTTTTTTTTTTTGAGATGGAGTTTTGCTCATCTCCCAGGCTGGAGTGCAATAGTGCAATCTTGGCTCACTGCAACCTCCACCCTCCGGGTTCAAGCCATGTTCCTGCCTCAGCCTCCTGAGTAGCTGGGATTACAGGTGCCTGCCACCACTCCAGGCTAATTTTTGTATTTTTAGTAGAGACAGAGTTTCGCCATGTTGGCCAGGATGGTCTCGAACTCCTGACCTCAAGTGATCTGCCTGCCTCAGCCTCCCAAAGTGCTGGGATTACAGGCATGAACCATCACACTCAGCCAAACCTTTTTTCTTTTCATTACCATTTCAGGATTCTGTTTAAAACAGAGGTAAGAAATGAGGTTTATTTGAAGCCAGGCCCTCTACAAAATATTTTGTTAGTTGAAATGTTTCTCAGAGGTACATAAAGCCTCTAAAGCTCTTATTACCTATTTACTAACCCTCCCTTTTAAATATGTTTACTGCTTTTACTACTAGATTTTTAAAATGGAAGACGTATTTTTACTGTTCCCTATTTGCAAGATGGAAAAATGGAAACAAAGTTTCTGTTCTCTTCTTGTAAGGACACTAATACCATCACAAGGATCCACTCTCATGATCTCATCTAACCTCCCAAAGGTCCCATCTCCAAATACCATCACACTGCGGGTCAGGGTGCCAACATATGAATTTGAGAGGGACACAATTCAGTCTATGACATGGACTCTGTTCCTAGTGCAGAGTGGTGGAACGAAGGAGGCAGTTACTGCAAGCATGAATACATCAGCACATGGCCTGGCTCATCACACAGGGCAAAAGTAAGATTCAGTGACTTTGTGCTCCACCGCCACAGTGTTACAGAAACACTCTCTTCTCCAGAAAAATGGAAGGATGAGGCAACATTGGGCTACCATTCCTGCCTGGTATCATTGGCTGAGGCTGAGCAGTGGCTTCCCTCTTTGCACAGGAAAACGGTTCTCCAGTTCTCCCAGGTCCCCACCACTCCCTGTCATCTTAGACTCTGTTAACTTCTCTTCTTTGATTTACCCACCACCTGGCCAGAGCAGAGACTTAGGTTTGTGACCTCTGGTTGGTGACTGTGGCTGACAACCTTTTTTGTGGTTCTAGACGCTTCATAATCTAGTGAGAGTTGTGGACCCTCTCTCTAGCAAGAGCATATCACAACACATTCATTGTGTGTTCAATTTAGAGGTTTGTGGCCTCTCCTATGCCCAGGCTACAGACTCTTGGGGTGGGAATTTCTGAGTCAGAGATAATGTTGTCCTCTTCCATCTTCAAATGTTGTCCTCTTGCATCTTCAAACAGTCTTTTCCCATGGTTGGCTCCTTTCAACACTGGAGTTTCAACTCAAACAGCAACTCCGAGATATCTTCCCTGACCCATAGCTGTCCATCCTCCCTCTCCCGCTCTTTTTTATCTCAGCTTTTATTTTCCCTAGGGAACTTCTCGCTCTCTGAAATGGTCTGGTTCAGGCTTTATTGTTTTACTTAGCCCTCACCCCCTAGAATGTAATGTTAGCAGGCACTGTAGCCCAGCAGTACCCATCAGGCACTTGGTAAGAGCTTGCTGCAATGCATGAATGATTGGAAGCGTGTCCAGAGTTGGTTTCTTCCAGTGGGTTCATAGTCTCGCTGACTTCAAGAATGGAGCCGTGGACCTTCGCCATGAGTGTTACAGCTCTTAAAGATGGCACGGACCCAAAGAGTGAGCAGCAGCAAGATTTACTGTGAAGAGCAAAATGCTTCCACGGTGTGGAAGGGGATCCTAGAGTGTTGCCACTGCTGGTGGGAGTGGCCAGTTTTTATTCCCTTATTTGTACACGCCCATGTTCCATTTTTGTCCTATCAGAGTGCCCTTTTTTCAATCCTCCCTTTGATTGGCTACTTTTAGGATCCTGCTGATTGGTGCGTTTTACAGAGTGTTGATTGGTGCATTTTACAATCCTCCTGCTAGCTACAGAAAAGTTCTCTAAGTCTCCACTTACCCAGGAAGTCCAATGGCTTCACTTCTCAGAAGGATCCCTCCATCTCGGGCTCTTGGAGGCTTCAGGCAGCAGAAGCTATGTGAGAGAGCAACCTTGCCTGCGGTGACCTCCCCGTTCCTAGACCATCCACCCGGGGCACCACACCTGGCGGTGCCCGTGAGCCTCGGGAGGGCGGACGCTTCAGGGACGGAACGGGTGTGCACGGCGCGCCGGTTGCGGGGGGGGCAACTTAACGGGCCGGACCGCGGCGACTACCGAGGGAGGTGAGGGGCGGGCCGGGCGGGTGTCCGAGGCGGCTGCGGCGGCGGCAGCATGGCAGGGCGGCGAGTTAACGTGAACGTGGGCGTGCTGGGCCACATCGACAGCGGCAAGACGGCGCTGGCGCGGGCGCTAAGCACCACAGCCTCCACTGCCGCCTTTGACAAGCAGCCGCAGAGCCGCGAGCGCGGCATCACGCTAGACCTGGGCTTCTCCTGCTTCTCGGTGCCGCTGCCCGCGCGCCTGCGGTCGTCTTTGCCCGAGTTCCAGGCAGCGCCCGAGGCCGAGCCCGAGGCCGGCGAGCCACTGCTTCAGGTCACGCTGGTCGACTGCCCCGGGCACGCCTCCCTCATCCGGACCATCATCGGCGGTGAGCGCGGGCCGGGGCGGGAGCCGGGCTCAGGGACGCGGGCGGAGCGGCCGGGCTCCGTGTCCGAATTCTCTCGAGCCTATGCCGGGAAGGGAAATCGCCCCACCTCATTGGTGGGGCCCCTGAGGCCCCAAGAGGCGGACGTGACTTGCCCAGGGCCCCGCAGCAAGCGAGCGGAGGCTTTGAGATTCGAACTCAAGGCCAGCTGATATGGAAGCTTTTCCCATCCAGCACTACCGAGCTGCAAGGTGCTTTCCTTAAAAAAAAAAAAAAAAAAATTCAAAAAATTCCTACCAAATGTGTTTATCATACATGGTCAAGTAAAGAAAACTCAAAATAAGAAAACTCAAAAGCTACAAAAAGGGTATGCATACAAAGGCTGTCTCCATTCACCTGTCCTTTGATCTCCTGATTACCATTCCTAGAGCCAACCGCTGCTACCAGTTTTTGTATATCATTTCAGAAAGGCTCCATGTCAATACAAGCATATCTCTGTATATGTATAAATCCCTCTTTCCGTCTTTCTTTTAGACACGATTTCACTCAACACTGTGTCTGGAGAGTGCCCCATATCTGTACACATAAAGCTACGTCATTCTTTTTAAAGCTCACATAGGATTCCATTGCACATTTGTACCAACATTTTCTTTTTCTTTTTTCTTTTTTTTGGAGACAGTCTCATTCTGTCGCCCAGCCTGGAGTGCAGTGGCACGATTTCGGCTCACTGCAACTTCTGCCTCCTGGGTTCAAGCGATTCTCCTGCCTCAGCCTCCTGAGTAGCTGGGATTACACGTGCGCGCCACCACGCCCGGCTAATTTTTTTGTATTTTTAGTAGAGACGGGTTTCACAATGATGGTCAGGTTGGTCAGATGGACTCCTGACTTCATGATTCGTCCACCTTGGCCTCCCAAAGTGCTGGGATTACGGGCATGAGCCACCACGCCCGGCCTGTACCAACATTTTCTAAACTAATCTTTTAATGATGGACGTTTATGTTGTTTCCAGTATTTGCAAACCATGTTGCAGTGAATATTCTAGAACAGAAGTCTTTGGTATGTTCGTATATATGTAGGGTAATAGAACTAACTGGCTGGGGCAAGGGGCATGTGTGTTTTTGGTCGTGGTGGGTACTGCCAAAATGCCCTACAAAGAGGTACCCTTAATTTTTAATTATGCATGTAATACATGAATATATGCCACTTGTGAAGAAATAGAATATCACAAATAAGGCAAACATTCCCTTACCCACTCCTCTGTCCTAAATTCTGCACCCCTTCCATCTCTGCAAATGAAAAGACTACTATTTTTTTTTTTTTTCTGAGATGGAATCTCGCTCTATTACCAGGCTGGAGTGCAGTGGTGTGATGTCGGCTCACTGCAACCTCTGCTTCTCAGGTTCAAGCGATTCTCCTTCCTCAGCCTCCCGAGTAGCTGAAACTACAGGTGTGTGCCACCATGCCTGGCTAGTTTTTGTATTTTTAGTAGAGATGGGGTTTCACCATGTTGGCCAGGATGGTCTTGATCTCGACCTTGTGATGCACCTGTCTTGGCCTCCCAAGTGTTGGGATTACAGGCATGAGCCACTGCACCTGGCTGAAAAGACCATTATTAGACCTTTGTGGATGATTTTTCCAAGCCCATTAACTCCACTTAAATATATGGATAGAATTTTAAACATATTTTTAGAAAAAAAGATACGATAATATAAACACGTGGTATAAAAGGGTATATAGCTAAAGAAGTATACTTTTTACTGCTGACCCCAGTGCCCGATTACCTTTCTATTCCCATTTCCTTGTGTTTCCTTCCAGCAATATTCTGTATGCTACACATGGGAATATGTATCGGGCAGGTGGTAATTGGCTTGGTGGCAGATGGCCTCATTGGTCACTGGGCATTCTGGGTCCCAGCTATAATGATGAGCTTATTAAGTATAGTACTTCATCTTTGTTACCTCCCAACTGTTTCATGTTACAGGCAGTCTGAGATCATTTCCCCATTTTACAGTAGAGGAAATAGAAGTTTGAAGAAGTAAAGGGACTTGCCCAGGGTCACAGTATCTAAAGTCTTCTCCTCAATCCATGTTTCGGTCAGGTGAATATTAAGGGGCACACGATTCTCTACCCATTCCTCCCCATCCCCTTATAACTGAATTCTGTTTGGTCACATCAAAATACATTTTAGGACATGGACTCTGAGCCAGTCCAGACTGGAGGTGGAAGGCAGAGGTTAAAAAATGAGACGGCAAGTTTTTAGTGTTTTCTAGTAAATAGGGTAGATGAGTGGTGAAGGACATACTTTTGGAGTCAGACAAAACTGGGCTTGAAGCCTAGCTTTCTTCCTTAGCTGTATGACCTTTGAACCTAATTCTGGACCTTGCTTCAACTGGAAGATAGTGGTAACCACACAACTATTTATTGGCTTGACTTTTCTTGTGTATTTGCTACTTACCAGGCAAACCCTGCAAGGAGCGTGGTGGTTACCATTTAATAGTTGAGAAAATTGGGACTTAGGGAGGCAGCTGGTTAGTGAAACAGTCCAGGTCTGCCTGACTCCAAAGCTGGAGTACTTTGCATGCTTCCCCAGGTTACCCTATAGTTTCCCCATCCCCTTCCAACATACGTGCATACCTCATGTTATTGTGCTTCACTTGATTGTACTTTGCAGATAGTCCAACAGCATGTGCTCACTTTGTGTCTCTATGCCACGTTTGGGTTATTTTTAACAATATTTCAAACTTTTCATCAAATATTAAGCACCAAACATTTCACTTGATTTCAAATACATGTTATCTGTTAATGGTGATCTGGGATCAGTGATCTTTGATGTTACTATTATAATTTTGAAGTGCGACAAACAATGCTTATGTAAGGCAGCAAACCTAATAAATGTTGTGTGTGTTCTGACTGCTCTACCTCCTGGCTTTTCCCCTGTCTGTCTCTCTCTCCTCAGGCCTCCCTATTCCCTGAGACACAACAATATTAAAATTCATCCAGTTAATAGCCTTTATGTGTTCAAGGGAAAGGAAGAGTTGCAAGTCTCTCACTTTAAATAAAAAGTTAGAAGTGATTTAAGCTTAGTGACGAACGCAATGTTGAAGGCTGAGATAGGCTGAAAGCAAGGCCTGTTACACCAAACAGCCAAGTTTGGATGCAAAAGAAAGGTTCCTGAAGGAAATTAAAAGTGCTACTGTAGTGAACACACAGATGATAAGAAAGCAAGACAGCTCTATTGCTTTTATAAAGAAAGTTTTAGTGGTCTGGATAGAAAAACAAACCAGCTACCACATTCCCTTAAGTTGAAGCCTAATCCAGAGCAAGGCCCTAACTCTTCAATTCTGTGAAGGCTGAGGGAGGTAAGAAAGCTGCAGAAGAAAAATTTGAAGCTAACGGAGGTTGGTTCATGAGGTTTGAGGAAAGAGGCCATCTCCAGAACATAAATGTATAAGATGAAGCAACAAAAAATGTATAAGATGAAGCAACAAGTGCTGATAGAGGAGCTGCAGCAAGTTATCCAGGAGATCTAGCTAAGATCATTGATGATGGTGAGTACTAAACAGATTTTCACTGTAGGTGCAACAGCCTTATATGGAGAAGATGGTATGTAGGATTTTCATAGCTACAGAGAAGTCAATGATTGGGTACAAAGCTTCAAAGGACAGGCTGACTCTTGTTAGGGGCTAATGCAGCTGAAGCTGTTGCTCACTGACCATTCCAAAAATCCTAGGGCCCTTAAGAATTATGCTGAATTTACTCAGCCTGTGCTCTTGAAATGGCACAGCACAGCCTGGATGACAGCACCTGTTTATAGCATGGTTTACTGAATATTTTAAGCCCACTGTTGAGACCTACTGCTTAGAAAAAAGACTCCTTTCAAAATATTACTGATTGTTGATAATGCACCTGGTCACCTAATGGCTCTGATGGAGATATACAAAGAGATTAATTTGTTATCATGCTTGCTAACACAACATCCATTCTGCAGTGTATGGGTCAAGGAGTAATTTTGACTTTCAGGTCTTGTTATTTAAGAAATATATTTTATAAGGCCATAACTGCTCTAGATAGTGATTCCTCTGATGGATCTGGACAAAGTAAATTGAAAACCTTCTGGAAAGGATTTATCATTCTAGATGCCATAAAGAACATTTGTGATTCATGGGAGGAGGTAAAAATATCAACATTAACAATAATTTGGAAGAAGTTGATTCCAACCCTTATGGAATTCCAACCCTTAAGTCTTGAACTGAGGGGTTCAAGACTTCAGTGGAGCAAGTCACTGCAAATGTGGTGGAAATAGCAAGAGAGTTAGAATGAGAAGTGGTGCCTGAGGATGTGACTGAATTGTTGAGATCTCATGATCAATCTTGAGTGGATGAGGAGTTGCTTCTTGTGCATGAGCGAAGAAAGTGGTTTCTTGAGATGGAATCTACTGGTGAAGATGCTGTAAACATTGTTGAAATGACAACAAAGGATTTAGAATATTATGTAAACTTAGTTGATAAAGCAGTGGCAAGATTTGAGAGGACTGACTCCAGTTTTGAGAGCAATTCTGTGAGTAAAATGCTATCAAACAGCTTCACATGCTACAGATAAATTTTTATAAAAGGAAGAGTCAACTGTTGTGGCAAACTTCATTGTCTTATTTCAGTAAATTGCCACAGTCACCCCAGTCTTCTTCAACTACCACCCTGATCAGTCAGCAACCATCAACATTGAGGCAAGACCCTCCACCAGCGAAAAGATTATGACTTGCTGAAGATTCATCAATCATTAGCATTTTTTAGCAATGAAGTATTTTAAAATTAAGGAATGTTTATTGCTTTTTGAGACATACTGCTATTGCATACTTAATTGACGAAATGTCATGTAAACATAACTTTTATACATATTGGGAAACCAAAAAATTTGATTTGCTTTATTGTGATATTCACTGTGCTGCAGTGGTCTGGAACTGAATGCACAATATCTTTGAGGTGTGCTTCAATTATAGGGAAACT